AAGATAATTTATTATTTCTCTCAACTTCTCTTGTGTTGTTATATTTTCATCGGTCAAATTGACATTGCTATCGAGCCAAAGTAAAGAAAATGTTTCAAAATTTTTATCATCATCTTCATCAAACAAACCATCTTCACTGCTTATTGTTGATGCATTCGATGGTGCAGTTGTGAAAGTATTCGACATAGTACGGGAAGCTGAATGTATCATAGTTGTGCTTACATTCGGCTGGTATGTGGGTCCAACAGATGTCTTTGAATTTTTAGTTTCCATGTTAGACTCTCTGAAATAAGTAAAATAAAATGTGTGTGTAACATTGACAAAACCACGTTTAGCGACAAATATGGTACAGTCCATTTCAATGAATTAAAGAAGCGCTTGTGCAAATTAAAAGTTTTTGATGAGAAAAGGTAGAAGCGTTTGATTTTCGTTTTCAAGCAAAAGAAATCGTGTTCTGTTGGACAAACACAGGCTGGTGAAACGAACAACGAAAACGGAGTAATTTTATAGAATGAATTTGGTATGACTTTGTAGTCAAATAACAACTCTCACGTGCATGGCTAATAACTTATTTGCTGTCTCACTTAATCTTTGCTTTATTCGTTTTGCCTGTTGTTTTTTGTTTATAAAAGTAAAATAAAATGAATTATCAGTGTATAGGAGCGAAAATAGTGTGTTGGTATATGGTTTTTACTCTCTCTACAACAGTAACAGAAAAGTTAATCTTTTTTTTTGTTTTTATTTCTAATTCTTTTAAAGTGTAAATCGATGTTTGTTCTTGTATAAATTGAGCATGTAAAAGCAGTGAAAAGAAATGAATACAAATAACTGTAAATTGTAGAAAGTTAAAATTGGCTTATACAAAACAGATAGATTATTGGGTTTCAAGTAATACTTCAATTCCGTAAATTTATTTAAAACAACGTTTCTATCTCTATTTGACTTTGTAAATAGACAAGAGGAAATCCTGAGGATTATAGGATTTCTTAGCGAAAACATTAGAAATGTTCATGCCGAGCTAAATATGTAAATGAAGCTGTGCAATTTTTTGCGAAGATCATTAGCCAGTTCAGATCCATATTAGTATCTAAACTGCTGATCCGTATCGACGAGAGAAGGCCTTCTTCTATGGATGAGATTTTTGTTATTTCTATGATTGTTTTTTAGTTTGTTTTATCGAACAAGTTTTTGAACAGAAAAAGTCAAAAAAGAATAGAAAATAGATAGAAGAAAAAGTTTTAAAATATGAGTGTCACAGAAGAAGGAAATGAAAACAACGACAACTAAACTGGGTTCACAGAAGATGTTCACAGGAATAATACAAGTGAATAATTCTACAGGGATGAAATATTTATTTATTTCTTCATCAAAAGACAACGTTAATTTTTCGCCATGTTTAATACCTCGTACGACTTTTTTTTCGATAAAAATACGGTTTTAAACTGTATGGTACAACGTACAATATTTCTCTGGGTTCAAATGTCGAACTTTTCTGCTTTTTTCGAGATGAGGAAATATAACTGAAAACATTAGCCTTGTTGCAAGAACAATAGCTGCAGCTATTGTTTTGTTCAGGCAGCTGTAACCGTATTGTGCTGCATTAATTGCCACTGATGTCTTAGCTTTAATAACGAAAAGCGAGTGTTGTAGATAGATAAATCAATTGCTAATTCTGGCATATTCGACACTGATGAATTTGGTTGAGTTTGATTCGTTATTGTTAATGAAGGCTGAGCAGCGAATGAATCTCCTCTTGCTGGTTTGATATTTTCACAAGGTTCATCTTTTCTCATATATTGTTTGACAAACTGCCATCCTTTATTCGCCATTTAAATTACTTGTATTACATAATGTACATCTGAATGTTGATTCTTTTGCGTCTTTTGTACGCTAACAATTGACGGGTGTTCCAACCAAACACTTCTTTTCTAACAATTTTTGACTTACGAGGAAAGTCTTACCCACCTAGAAAACCTCACTATATTATGACTACATTTCTCTCTACGCTGAAGAAAGAAGTCTAATCTTGATTTTGAGACCAAATGAATGTTTCTGAAAAGACAATCCATTGCTTTTTACTATCTATCTCAATGAACAGTGCACTCAATTGTAAGTTGAATAACTCCAGAACGAAAGCAGCTGGAGACTTGCGGTTTTCAGCCAACGAAAGAGAGTCATATTTTTTATATGGAAATGTCAAATCAGGTTGAAATTGAGCAGTCAGGAAAATTCTTGATGAACATTTTAAAAACAATATTCCAAAGGCATTTACCATTGGGTTTCGAGTTTCGAGATGACCATTCAATAGAGAAAATTGTTTTCTTTCGATCTGCGTAAGACCCAGCTCGCTAGAACATTTCGTTCAAGAGTTATAAGCGTTTTCCCGAGAGCCCCAAACGGCATTTTCAGTGATTTTCGGGGTTTTTCGACCCTTCATCAAAGTTAAATCGCTGAACAAAGTGTATATTCGGAATCAGCATGCAAAAGTGCGTCGAGTGACATGGCTTTAATAACTTTCATTCTTTTTCATTTCTGTCACTAAACTATCATACCTCTCTGTGGATTCTGGCATGTACATGGTGAAAAAAATGAAAGTCATCAAATAGAGATTAAAGACATGTCACTCGACGTAGTTTTGCATGCTGATTCCGAATATACACTTTATTCAGCGATTTGACTTTGAGCTAGATTCTCTCTGGAGATCATTTTTGCTTGGGTCTGTGCCGAGATTGTTATAAACTTTAGTTGAAGGTTAAAAGCGAAATATTGATAAGAAGCAAAGCGTATGAACGATCAAATAAAAACATTAAAATTTGTTTATATCTGATAAATTGAGAGGCAACATTAATCACAAGAGTCACTAGACGTACTTTTATATAGCATGATATTCACAAGTAGCGCTCATCATTCTGATTCACTTATTTCTTGACTGGAAAGAAATTGCCAGTATCAAATTGTTTCTACAGAATAAAATAATTATCTTTCTTGTTCACATTACATTCTGAAGAACATTCTCAACAAGCAGCAGCAGGCTAGTACTACGACACTTCTGACGACCATCGTTGTTCTTGCAAGCCAAGAGATAACTGAGATACATTCCCAATTCTTATTTCTAATCACTCTCGTATTATGTATTGAAGTGTATGTTCGTCTGCCCGCTAATAACATGTGTCTACGCCCAAACACAGTGGGGGAACTATCCAAAATATATGCTGTGAATTTATCTCTGATTTGATGTGTAAGCTTCCTAATATAATGTAATGCTAAAAGGTTTTCACATGACCCTCCAAAGATCCCAAGAGGTCTAGTACTATTTCTAAATTGAAGACAATACTCACGCCTTCCTTCGGTCGGCGTTCGCAAACAGGATACCTAAGACATATTATGAACTTCTTTCATAGGGCACCATCTAATATCAAGGTAAAACGTTTTCTGGACACCCTATGAAAATGCCAAGGGCTCTGGAAGCATCACTAACCGAATCGCCATGACAGACTACCTATATTCTATAAGTTTTGTTCTGCCCTAGATGACTCTTTGGTGCTATCAAACGTGGCTGATTTCTAGCGACATCCACCTCCGAACTACAGAAAAAGGTTTGCTTTGCTTTTCTTTCTCTGCATCAGTAGATATTTCGGCCATCTCTCTGAATATTTTCTCTCTCGCAGTTAGAAAGGAATTTTCTATATTTGCTTTCTTGTGTTTGGCTTATAAATGGAGTATCTGATAGCCATTTTTTCCACACACATACCTACAACCACTTTGAAAGACGCTAGACTAAAGTCAATGGAAAGGTAGAATACCCACTCATTATCATGGAATAAGGTTCAGAAGAAGTGTTCGACTAATATAATCGATCCTACAGATCGCTCAAAATCATTTTCTGATTCCCATAGTCGAATTCCCATATGGCCAAAATGAACTTGTGAGAAGGGTAAAAGTAAAGCTTTATAGTATAAAAATCGAACTGCCTGTATAAAAAAAGGATTCTCACAAAGTTTTGGTTAACCCCTGTAGATGTTAATTTTGGAATAATCACAGCTGCCGCCACCATACTGGCGTAACTTGTAATTACTATTCTCGTAAATTGCACCAGGTGTTGACCAAAACTTTGTGACGACCCTTTTTTTATATACGTAATCTGATTTTTATACTTTAAAGCTTTACTTTTACCCTTCTCACGAGGTCGTTTTGGCCATATGCCTATTGCGCATCATTCTCATCCAGCGAGGTTAAAATGACAGTTTTGACCAATAGAATCAACCGTAGAGGTCGTTCACGCTCAGTTTCTGGTTCCCGAGAGTGGCATACCTGTTGTACACCCTTTTCATCCAACCAAGGTGAGAAAAACATTTCGACCAATAGCATCAATCATAGGCGTCGCACTCACTCATTTTCTGATTCCCCATACTCGGTTACTTACTCCATATCATTTTCATCCATTCAAGTGGAAATGACGTTTTTGACCAATAGGATTCACTGTAGAGGTCGCTCATACTCATTTTCTGATTCCCCGCAGTCGACCACATACTCCATATCATTTTCATCCAACCAAGCTCTACCAGTCCATCTTAGCTGACATATTCATGGAACATTTTGAGATAAAAATTGAGCAATACCCATATCATCACAAAGTTCAATCAATGAAACGTTATGTTGATGATATGTTTTTTTATTATAAATGGAAAACAAAGTGATATTGAAGAATTATTAGAATTCATGAATGATTTACATCCAAAAATTAAATTCACTTATGAAGTTGAACAAAATTATGAACTACCGTTTCTGATATTGAAATTACTAGACGTCGCATGAAATATGAAACAATGGTATATAAAAAACACCCAATACAGGATTGTATATGCATTGGTTCAGTTGTCAAGTTAGAAAATACAAAATCCGGACGCTTAATCCGGACTTTGACTATCCGTGCAATCCTTCTAAAATAAAAAGTAATGGTCTAAATATTATCTACATAAAATATTATTTTCGCAACGTAATAGAATATGAATACGTAATACGTAATAGAAAATGAAGAAACATATCACATTGTTTCTCCTCTTTTGTTTCTTTACCTTTCACACTGTTTTCATAATAAAATTTGTTTTCACTCTCATTCATTAACGTCAAGTAAAAAGGAAAAAACATCAGGTGGAATAAAGATGTCAAAATTTTAGTTTGATTCGTTTGAATCGTCGAACAAAGGCAGCTGAATAAGGAGATATTTTTGATTGATACACAAAAGAGTTATTTCGAGCAGAGTGCGTTGAATGCTTGACGCCGCTGTTTATGTTAGGAAATATATATCTTCCGAATGATAGCTTGTAGAAATCTGGTAGATATCTCATTTTGAAGAACGATACTTTGCTTGTCTGTAGATGTCTAGACGATTTCTGGAATGTCAAAAATAATACTTATCTAGATCTCAAGCAGTCAAGCTTAAAAAAACATAACTCGAAGAGAAAAGGCCGTACAGAGCTGATGGACATCTTATTTTGTAGAGGACACCTAACTGGCTGTTGTGTTAAGTTATATTTTATGTAAGAAGTAGTGATCTGTAGTATTTCAGGGGTTGTCGGGAATGAAGCTCCCTCTTCTTTTTAAATGTTTTCCAAAGTTTAGTTTACTATCATCGAGGCAAGTATCATCTATAAAATGAGATGATTGTGCGTTCGGCAAGTCATTTTGTTGAAAATTGATGAGAATGTTAGGTTTTCTCACCAGCAGACTTTATTCAAAATAAAGTTTTTTCTTAGCGGACATTTTTTTCTATATCCTGATCGAGATATGCTTCCACACTGCTATATCATTGCCCTAAGATGAAATAAGCAAAAAGTTTCGTGGTACCTGTAAAAAAGCATGAAAGATGTCATCATCAAAAGGTTTAGGACTGAGGTTATAGTTCTGAAAGTTTCTTTTTGTTTTTCTCTAATAACAAATCGTCATGGCTTAAGTAAGTTTTGATTGGAATTTCTTTTTGCAAATTCAACAAAACTTTTGTATTATTCAACAAACTTAAAAAAATTCCAACGGCTTTAGTAACGCTTTTTCCTTTTCTTTTATTTGTCATGAGTAATAAAGAAAAGAACAACATTATATTTTATCTTTATGGTTGTTAGAAAAAGTATTTTTTTGATAGATATGTAATGAATTGTTTTCTTCAAGTGTCTATTTTGATGTTTTTCTTGGTAATAACCAAATAAAAAAATACACAGTTTAAAATAAAATGTTGTTGCTGATTCTAGCCAGATTTATTCCGTTTTGCACATAGGAAAAATGGCAAATGATACCATAAATTTAGGTATGATGACAGCTGAATGACTCTCAGCAGCACAAGTTGTTAAAGATACTACGATTATTTAGATACTAAAGAACAAGCGCTGAGTCTACAAGAAGAAAGCAGTCCGCAACAAGAAACAGAAGGTGTTGTTGAAAATTTCTTTAAAATATTAAATTTCATCTTTTCAACATTATAGCGGATGACATTAATAGACAAATTGGAATAGAAAATTCAATTGCTACACCATTAAACAGTAATACAACACAATTGGGTCAATCAACTACTGTCAATTCGCCAATTTTAACAAAACAACCGATACATCTAGTATCTGACGGTAACCTAAAACTTGATTCTGGAACGTGATCTTCCTCCTATAAGCTGTACAAATATGTTTTCTTTTTTCACAGATCCTGTCAAATGGAACAGCGAAGCAACATTGGAATGGTTTGCCGAAAATCAGCTGAATGAGTAATAGCGCTCAATTTTTCTCATTTCTTTTGTTTCATCTACATTTTTCTTTGCAGATTTTTACCCGTTTTACCGAATAACATCGATGGAAAAATTCTCAAAGAATTTTACAACTTAAAAATCACAGTAAAAAAGAATTTGAATTTTTGTGCGATGTATTCATACTATAGGTTTAATCCTACTTGAAAAATTGTATAGCGTCTGCTCTCATCACACTGATTCACTTCTACCATTACCGTAGAGGATGTTCAGGGTAACCTCACTTTTTCAACTGCGAATGTCAAACGTTAGACAAACAAAATAAAAAACAAATGAAGAAGATTGATTTAGCAAAAAAAAGTTATTGTTTCCCCACCCCGAGGACACCTACGGTACAGTGTCTGTACGTTTCATTCCGTCAACCGACGTTTGAGCGCCCAACATTTGAGCGCCGACATTTGAGCGCCCGACATTTGAGCGTCCGACACTTGAGCGCCCGACATTTGAGCGACCGACATTTGAGCGACTCCGACATTAGACACTTTTCAATATGACTTTTTGCCGATCAGGAAAGTCGAATGATTATTCACTTCGATAACGATGATCAGAACAATT